TGGTGATCTGAACCCATTTCAACAACAAGGAGTTGACAGTTGTGGATTTGCATGCATTCAATATGTGTAGCACATCGTTGTTGACTGTTGAGTGTGTATTCAGGTCAAGTTACCACCAACCAACAACCACATCCAGTGCGTACATGATCATTACTAGAATGACTGCCAAGAATATTCGCATCCGAAAGTTGATTGTGAGTTGGTGGTTTGCAAGAATTGAACACAATCAACATGCTATTGGATACAGCAACCTGATTATAGTCCAGTCGCATGGTGTGATACAGTGGTTCGTGCAATACAATATCCAGATATTTGTAGTGTTGAACACGACGAATCTGTTGTTCGTGTAGCATCATATCAATTAGTAATTTGGGATCAAAGTGTTGTGACCACGGAAACTGAGTATGTTGCATTTGACTACACCAAAGCTTGTTTGACATTGTTCCATCCATCGTGCAAGTACACCAGATGCCAACTGGAGCAACTGATCAGAATTGGCAAATATCACGATATTGTCGGCATACATGAACCCTCACATTGATGGTGATTTACATGATACTCATGCAATGACAATCGGTTGATATCATCGTGTATGTTGTTGATGAACACGTTGAACAACAATCCGACAGTGGACATTACAGCCGGACTCCATGCTCAAATGGAAATGGATCAGAAACCAATGATCCAGTCTGAGCATGAGCTGATGAGCATGTGTGCAGCGCTGTTAGCAAGACCAGTGTACGTGGTGTCAATCACATGTGTTGCAGTTATCATATCAAGGCACCAACCGTGACAGTGTTGAATGCATTTTGAATATCAATCAACACAACAATAGTATTGGGCTGCACGCACTGCTGTCATTGAACAATATCGACTAGTGAAACAACCTGCACAACACACTTGTTTGGTTTGAAATCGACCATGCTTGGTGGTGACGAGTTTGTTGAGCACCACGATCCATCAATGTGTGTTTGCAAGACCTTGCATACCAGTTTATGACACACATCAATCAGTGTAATATCGTGTTTGTCATTTGTATCAATGTGATCACCGTTATTGTTGTCGATATATGCAATCAATACAATCGATACAGTGTATGCAGACTGCCATCAGGTCGCATAATGGCCGTCAACATATTGACTGAACTGTGTAGCAGGACACGATCAAATGGATTGGGTGGTTCATCAGGAGTAGCATCCGATGTATATAATGCGACTTAGTAGATTATGGCCAATATCCTGTTGTTTTCCGAGTGTCTGGTGTGAACCAGCTGCTGTATTGCATCAGCTAGTCGATTTCAAGATATATCCGAGTTGAGATCAGTTGCATCGTCACGAATTGGAAACAGTTTGGATGGTGGAAGTGAATCACGTATATGCAAGTACTGCCATTACTGCAAGTCAAGTAAATGTCCACTATCGTCCGTAGCAAGACACAAGTAGTGATTACTCGGTATGTCAAAAATACTATCACTGCTATACTGAATGATACGATTGGCATCACATCGTATAGTGGAATGGAATGGAGTGATGGCTGTTGTGTGTGTTGCACCACCAGGCATGATTCGAGCTGCTGCAAATGTCATATCAAAACGATCATCAATACTGTCTGGTCAAGTGTGTCAGCAAACTTGATCCAGATCATATGTTCATTGGCGCATTCAAGTCGCTGGATTGTTGCATTGTGTTTGTCCCAGCATGCACCTAGTTGGCTGCGACAGAGTTCATTGTGATTGTCACGGATACTTGCTGTAATGTACATCGACATTCCAGTGTTACCATGTCAAGTTGTCCGTTTGATTGAGCGATACAGTCGACGTTTATGTTCCCGAGCAGTATGTGAATGTGTGTGCAGTTGACAGTCATCCACTGTTGCATTGGCAGCATCCAATAACTGAATGCATAGCTCGTGTGTGTCCGTGTATGATCCATCAAACGCTGCATATATTCCACCAATCGTGAACATTGCAATCCGATCATAGGCATATATGCAGAGTTGTGATATGTCAGTTGGATGAGTGGAATGGACTGAATGAGTTGGTGCATGTGTATTAGTGAGGATGCAAGTGTAAATGACACATCATCAACAACCGCAATGTTCATGTCTACACGAGCAGATTCTACAAGTGTTTGTTCAGTCTCGCCACACACAAAGTGATTGATAGAGTGTCAATGACATGCAGTCCTGCTCACTCGAGTGATATTACTGTCTGCATAGTGCCAACATACTGCATGACAGTCAAACGCAGTATTCGTGCGTGTATGATGCGTTGTAATGACGCATATTCAGTGTTCCAGTTTGCAAACAGTAGCACTGATGAGTGATCGTCAAACGGAATAACTGCTGACAGGACATGTTGAATGGCAGACAAGACATTTTGCGTTTGATAGTCGCATGCAGCCGAGTGTCCAATGTACACAGCCAA